CTACCCTCTCGGGTNACCGTCTTGCCCTTACGACCAGAGAGAGAGAGAGAGAGAGAGAGAGTCACCATTGTAGAAAGCTCATGTGCATCATTGGGATTCAGCATTAAAGACCCTCTAGCATGAAGTTCAAGAAGGTTACCTCCTTATCCCAGTAAGGACCACACATTCAAGAATCCTCCATTTTCAAACACATGTGGTGGTGCTATCAGCCAAAGAATGTCTTTTGATTTGGCACGCTTTCAACTTACAACATCACATCGCCGACAACAGGCTCGGCGACGATAATGCGTTCCTTATCTGCAGCCACATATTCGAAAGAACATGTTTGTATCTAATCCTCACCATCTTCTTGTCATGGCTACCTCAGAGTGTCCTCCAGGCAAACGTACCAAACCCCAAGATTAAGGGCATCAACAAGCCTTTGTTATTTCATGGCTTTTAGGACTAGTTTAGATCCTGACTTTTCTAAAGCCAGGACTTCCTCCCTCCAAAAGAGGGTGTTAAAACCTGTGTCTTGGATGAAACCAGGCCGGCTTTTTTTTTTTTTCTCAAGGAAACCAGTTTGAGGGCAAAGAAATTGCAAGGGAATCCCTCCATTACAGATATTATATGAAAAATTAGTTCAAGGTTGAGAAAAACATGAAACTGATTTGTGATTTTCCTGTAAAAACACAGAAAAATAACAAATAAAACACTAAGAATTTTTTATTATTATTTGAGCAATGATCTAATCCAACGGTTGTATCATAGTATAATGCAATAACACTTCTAAAAAACCATGTTTGTGGCATTTTTATGACCCAAAAATTTGCGCACACACTCTCTTCATCTCAATAATCAATCCCCTAAAAAAAAAAAAAGTTCAATTTGAACCCTAGATATGATCAAAATGAGTCCCCTCCAAAAACGAATCTAGATCATTCACTTTGTGAATTTCAAGATCTTAGCCTTTATAAACTCAAAATCATTTTTTTCTTTTTTAAAATTGTTCATCTAATAATAATAAAGCCATCTAAAAAAATTGGAAATGAAAAAATCTTTCTAAGGCCTAGATCTAAGCATCTCACCAAAATGAACGGCCTATGTTAATTGGGCTAAAAAAACACTTTCTAGCTTGTATTTTCAAATTTTCCTTTTTTGTGATTGTTCATTAGAATGAAAAGAGTATATA